GATTTAGAATCTCCTTTTCATTCTGGAATTAAATTGAGGAACCCTTTCTTAAGGGTTTGTAGGGTTTAGGGTTAAAACTACCCTCTTAATATATTTCCAAATTTCTTAATTCAACTGAAATGTTAGGAGATTGAGAATCTGATTGTAGATTCGTTCTTAAGATCCCCATCTCTATTTCTATACTTCTCTGCCGTCTGACAAATCGTATTACCGTGGATATCTTTAAACAGGACATCGCGACGTTTCGCAAAGCATGTCAAACGATTTGACACGCGATATTAATATGTATCTATTTTAAACTGAATAACAACGGTATCTGAAACCGGGTATGCAGATTATTAAATCCGCGCGTTACTTTTGCAGCCGGTAATCGTGTATCCAGTTTAGAAACGTGTTTCAATAATAATGAGACTGTGTGCGAATTTGTGAGAAATGGACGTACGATCTCGTAAACGAGCGGACCAGGTCTCGCAGGACATAACAAATAAAGCTAAAGCTTGGTTTCAATTCGCTGCCAGCGGAGGAGACGACCGATTCTTTTGCTCTCCCGTTCGTCCGGTCGTTCCACGGCCGCTCGTGACGACGCGACGTAATTTTCTGGTTAAGCCAACAAACCGTTTCAATGTTCATCGCTATTTGTAAATTGCACGACTACGTGCCTAAACGATTCGGCGAAACGGTTCTTCATCTTCGTTTGTTGCGTCCTGTTGCAGTTTCGGACGTACCGAGTGATATCATTTTCCAATTTCGCGTCCACTCCTCGCGTTTATACGACGCATGTGTATCTCGTTTTTCAATACTCGTTATTGATTGAAATGGATAAATCGTGTTAAAGATAAAACCATTAAAGTCGCGTGTCAACGAAAGTGTCGATAGTAGCATCGACTCGAGGAAGGAACGTAAACAACGGAAGACCAGCTGGAGGGATAAGAAGGAGCGTGGCGAGAGGAACGAAAAGGAAGGGAGACGTACGACAAAAAGGAAGATCGAAGGGGGAAAGAGGCTGTTCGTAAGGTTCGTTCGGTCGAAACGTCTGCTATTACGGAGCACCTTCGTGGTCACGACGCCCGATATGGAGCAATCTCAGATTTCCATCCGCCCAAATGAAGAACATACGCCCTCGCCACCCCTCTCGCTGCTCGGTGGGCCTCTCTGCTCCTCTTCGGTCTCCCTCTCGCTCCCTCGTTTCTCCCGTCGCGGCAGAGGTGGAGGCGCTGTTCAGGGTTGGTCTTTGGCCGTTCGCGCTGGTAACAGTGCCAAAACTGCCTCAAAACGAACCGCTCCGTCCTCTCTCCGTGTTTCTCTCCCCCTCTGCCACGTTTCCTCTTCTTTCCTCCCGGCCGTCGGTCCCGCGGCACGTTCTCGCTCGCGTCCGCTCCACCGGCGTTTTCTTCCTCCCTCTTCGCGTATCGACGGTCCCGCGTCCCGTCCGGACGACACAGCCCGGACACGTGTCTCCTGTCCGCCTTCTTCTTACCTTCCTTCCTTTCTCACCACCGCGCCCGTTCTTATTCCGCCGGACAGTTCGCTCATGACCCTTCTAAAGACGCTTTTCCGACGCCGTCGAAGTTTCCGACTCACAACAAGTGTCCGAGGATCGCGTGACCCGGGTTCATCGCACCATCAACCGCGCTCGGTCTCGTTTCGCGTCTCGTCGATCGTCTTGGTGACTCTCCGTTTATCACGCGGGTGCTTCGTCTTCGATCGATCGGTGCGACCAGGACTAGCGAGCTTCGACTAAGGAGCTCTGACACGTTCGACGCCCGGGACTCGTTCAACAGGATTTAACAGGAATAACGATCATTCGTCAGCGCCTGTTCATGTTGCCAGAAAGCAAGTTTCCCGTCACAGGTAATTCGAGAACGCCGCGCGACGTTACGAATGACGGATCGTCGCGCGGCTCGAATTTTATTATCCCAGTGCGAGAATCTTATACGTGGGCGTCTCCAAGTTCGTGTAACGTAATCGGGCCAGTGAATCGACTAGTTCCGATTTTTATATACACTTCGTCTCGTCTCGATTCTTCATTTCCATTTTACGTCTGTTTTATTTTTATCATCGAATGGAAATCGAAGTTCGTGATCGGTTTCTGATAAGGGTGAACGACTCGGTTGATAAAAACAGCCTTGACATATTCCATCGTGATCAATTTACCGTTTTTAACCTACTTGTTCTCTTGCCAGTTGAACACATGCTCGGCAGCATGCGAGCATTTCGCTTAGAATCCACTTGTTGCCCGCAATTGCTAGTCAACGTGTATTTCATTAAATATCCGTGCACGTCATAGATTCTTATTTTTAGATACGAAATAAATTGATAGATGTTTCATTTAATGCTTCAATGATTCGAATTTAGTTATTATTAAAATTTACGTGACAAAATTTAAAATAAATTAGAGAATTTTTTATAATTTATTATTGTTCTTTCTTGTATTCGGTTGTCATTGTCCTCTTCATGAAAAAAAGTACCGAAGTGGATGCAACATGAATTGATTGTTCCTGGCAATCGTCACTTTTTCCTTCGTAAAATGAAGTGGACATAAATTGATACGCAAGCCGGGCGACGGGGACGAAGGGGAGGGACGGTTGAATCAGGAATGGGCGAACGGAACGAAAGTGTCTCAAGCTTAGTCGTAAAGATACACCGCGCCGCGCGCGGGCCCGTCATCCATAATCCCAAATATGGTGTGAGAAATTTGAGAGAACCGAAAATAGTGGCGCTACGCCAACCGCTAAAAATAGCCAAAAAATAAATTGTAGTTACGCGGCCGCCTGCATCATTCTATAACTGGTCTTCAATGAATCGGGCCACCTCCCGCATACGCCGTTATTAATACACCATCACACGTATACGCGTCGCGCGGCCGTGCCGCGCCGCGCTCCAATCGTTCGGCAAGCTATATCGATCCTGCTTTTGGTCTCCGTTCGCTTTGCCACCGCGGAAAGCTGATCGTAAGCCGAATTTAGGAACCGTTTCTCGCCGATCTTCCCTCGCACGATATCATATGTACGCTCAACGTGGTCTCGCGTATTCACAGACGGAATAATCGTTTTTAACATTCAGTCCATCGAATTAAGTTTTTTTAAGAAGAATTTCCTTGATAATGTATAAAAAAATTTCCAATGCGTCAGACTCGGAAAGAATTAAATATGAGAATTGAAAATCGACGAAGAAAATCACAGTTTTTATT